ATCTCTGAAGAACTTGTCTCCAAAATGATGTTTCTTTGCTAATTTAATTTTCAAGTTCCTTGTTAATGGTCAACATTTGCCATGCTTCATATACAGCACATGCCCGTGTGTGCTTTCGAGGAACTATGTTGCTTGGCTCTATCTGATAAATGCCTGCAGTCCCAAATACCCGAGCTATATATGTATATATCAAATCAAATCAAAAATATATTTATTCAAATAGACGCTTGCGCGTTCTTATGAATCGTCAAATTTTACGTCAAAAATCCTTACTAATATTATAAACGAGAAAGTTTGTATGTATGGATGGAAGTTTGTTACTCTTTCACGCAAATACTACTGAATGCATTTTAATGAAACTACAATAATATAGCTTATACATCAGAATAAGACACGCAATAATTTATACATATTTTTATGTATATCTGTCGGAATGTGACGCCAACAGCCTATTCTACGCAGACGTAGTCGCGGGCAGCAGCTAGTTATATACAGCGTGTCGTTACCATCGCGACAATAAATGAACACACATATAGGGTATAACTTTTTAAAGTTGTATTAAACATTTAAATTGTTTAAACATCAATATTTACAGAGTTATTAAATTTTCCAAAACAAAGAATTTTAAAACAGCCTTACCTATAAAAGCGTAACGTAAAGTTCATTTGTAAAGGTCACAAAGCATATGAATGGGTTGAATGAATTTAAAAGAGACAAAACATACTGTTAGAAGGAGAGGCTTGTAATGCGACGCGGTGGCGCGAGTTGTATAGGACGTTACAAATTTTGTTTCTTTAGTACTTAATTAGTTTGTTTGAAAAATATTTTTTTTTAATTATGGATTTTGTTTAACGTTAATATTTCTTTATGATTATTGGCAAGTAGCGTTAGACGTGTGTTCATTTATTGTCGCGATGGTAACGACACGCTGTATATAGGTTCGTAAGGTACCTCAAATACTACAAACTACCAAGAAACTCAACAGTTGCTCTTTTTTTAAAAATCAGTTTACAACATAAGAGTACAGGTACAATAGTCTTGTTCAGCCTACGTGAGTATCAACAGTATTAACCCCACACATTGGCGTCGTCAAGATATTGGGCAATAGTATAATAAGCTATAGCCATAAGTTTACTTTTAATTTTTCGTTTAAATTCATCAAGTGGCAGACTTAATATCGACTGTGGGATTTTATTATACATGCGCACACTTTGCCCCATGAACGACCTGTTTACTTTTTGTAGACGAAACAATGGCGTAGTTAGTTTGTCCTTATTTTAAATATTTAGTTTATGTTTGTCACTATTCTTTAGATTTTTATTAATATTATGTTTAACATACAAAATATAACAAAAATATATTGAGACGCAACGTATAAAGTTGTTAAACATAATGTTTTTATATATTTTTTACCACAATATAGATTTTATGTAAGTACCTTTAACATTTAATTAATTTAATATAATATTTTTAACCGACTTCAAAAGGAGGAGTTTCTCAATTCGATTGGTATATTTTTTTTTATTGACTTATGATTAGATTTACGTGATTCTTCTTTAGTTTGATGCAGAATAGTTGCCATTTGGTCCTATAAAAAATTCCCATAGTTTGGCCAAGTAGTTTTCATTTTATGAACATTTTTAAAATATTTTAATGTTAAATCATCAAATAAAATCAAATTTGTTCTACTTCCCAGTTACAGGTAGAGCTGAAATTTTGTATACAAGTGTAAATCGCGAGACATGACACTGATGATGGAGCTGGAAGGAAGGCCTAAGAAACTTCGAAATGAAACGACAGAGCTTCATCGCGTTTGGGTACATTTGAATCGTATTGATGAGTAGTTTGTGTTTCATTGGTAACCAGGATCTGATGATGGAGCTCCATCTTCAGCCCTCCATGGACATATGCATAGGGTTGCAGATGCGTTTTTTCGTTTACAGCTCGTTTGATTCGTCTTGGCGGGTACTTAATTTTTAGATGGTTACCAGGGTCTGATCTGATGATGGAGCTGGAAGATGGTCATATGAACTCAGTAAACGACGCAACCCTATTGTGTCTAGGCTCGTTTGATTCGTCATGACGAGTTCTTTGGTGCTAGATGGTAACCAGGGTCTGATGACAGAGCTGGAATGTGGCCTTAGAAACTCAGTAATTAAGGAACACAACTGCGTCGAGTTTGATTCGTCTTAATGGGTGGACCGATTTTGATGGGTGGTGAGATGTGGTGGTTTAGTGAACGTGAGTATGCGAGACCATCTTTGGGAAATAAAGTTTGTTCGTTCAGTTTGTTATGAATGTGGATTCTGTCTTTGATTAGATGGATTAGAAGCGCTGAATGTTATGAATGAATGAATGAATAAATTTTTTTTTTGTTGTTTATGAACATTTTTTTGAGGGGGACGATGTAATTTTATTTTGTGTAAGGCTTTTTTATGAGTTTTTATTTGGGTTGATTATATATTATTATTAATCCGTGTCCCGATAGTCCCGTCTTAGGCTACTTGTCATTGAAGTGGAGCCAGCGTGCGGAGTAGAGGAATAGAGAATATTATAACCAATACGACTACATAAAATCTGGTAACGAAGAAATAAATAAAAGAAATTCCAAAAATAAGTAAGCCTACTAATAGCTACTTAAAAATACTATACAGAGATGGTTTTCTAAGTGTATCCATTTTTTTAAATTAAATTCTAAACATAAATAAAGTTATATAAAAATGATAAATACATAAGATCACTCGTAATTAATTAATTACCTTCATTTGAACTTATCTCAGAAAGTGCGTGATTTATGGGCAACTCATTTATTTTACGTGCGATCATTCATAACTAACACGCACACAAGTTCGTTTCAAAAGTATACGACTCATTTATGAATGACTACCGCTTTGTCAACAAGTTTGTTGTTGTTTTTAGGGAATAGAGTGCCATTTTTTAAAAAAAAAAGTTTGTTTTTATTTCAATAAACGATTATACTACCGAGTCTGAACCAAAATATTACAAGAAATGTATTGAGAAGCAACAGTGAGTATATTAACTTCTTTAAAATGACCTCTAAGTGAATTCCGGGCTCCGATATCGTAGATAGCTCATATTTATAGAATTTGCTTATATTTATAGATTGATTATATTTATGGAACTGTTGAAAATGTGTATATATATTTAGAACTGTTTAAGACAACTCAATGATACATTATCTTCGTGTAACTCCCAACGGTTTAGGCAGCGCACGCCAAGATAGATCTCAGAGGGCAGGAATTTTAATATTAAATTTTGTAGAAAAGTAAAAGTAATAAAATGTACTTAATATTTATTGTAAAATTATAGCCAAATTACACAAAACCTTTAAAATATATATAATAGTTCTATACATTACAATGAAATCATACATAGATGAGATCACACGACCATCAGCACATGAGCATATCGCTGATGCAATGTGCTACAAATGTACTGAATCAAATAATGGTACAAAATAGCAAATGCTTATCAAAGACTTGACGCAGATGTTGAAAATCAGATCAAGTCAGTCATTAGGAGTTCTGTTATTGTTAATGTTCATTTAACTAAAAAAAGACGGTAAGTGCGAGTCAAACTTGTACGCTGAGGCTTCCGTAACCGTACTGCCATAATAAAATTGGTAAATAACCACCGATTTTCTCAGGAACGGACCCAGCAAGTTAAAAATTTATACCAGATACCTAAGACCTTGCTTAAGGGTTCCTAGCGGTACTATCATCTATAAAAACGGCAAAAATATTATGTCTATTGTATGGGAGCCCCTTGTGTATAGAACCATAAAAATGACTAAAAATTAGTTAACCCTTAGCATCACTTGTGGAGGACCAAGGTCCCCCAGCGCTTTTTTGCATACATTATTATTAATATTAGCGCGGCACGGTCGCAGTTTCGCGTATTCCTGATGTCGCCCGAGTGCAAATAATGTATGTAGCAAGATGTAAATATGCGTAATGATATATATAAATATTATCCGTAAGTGATTCAAAATATGACAATGATGTAAGTGAACGCTAGTCTACCAATTTTAGTAGACACATTTTTCGTCGTTTGGAACGGTTAATGAGTTATCTAAACAAGTATGTAATCAATGGATTTTAGCTTATTTAATACTAAGATATTCAACATTTTATTACTTAAATATTTAATTAAAAAAGTGGGGAATTTGGGTCCCCACGAGTTTAGATAATATCTAGACTGAAATTACTGTGTAGTGTTAAGGGTTAACATTGATATTAATATATTTCGTCTGTTTGGTTACATTAATTAAGTATATTCAGACATAAACTTAATTATTTAAATATTTTCATTTCTATTTAACAAAAAATAAAGTCATTGGTTAAAGTTGTTTTTGGATAGATATTACCGTACTATGCAAAACAACAGCTTCTGCTGTTACAGAACAGTTTTTGAAAACTATGCAATTGCACTATACATTCTGTTTTATATACATACAGGGAGGCTTTTCTAAATGTATCCATTTATTAAATTCTAGACATTAATAATGTAATATAAAAAATGATAAATATTTAAAATCACTTGTAAGTAATTGATTACATTCATTTCAACTTATCTCAAAAAGTGCGTGATTTTTACGCAACTTATTTATTTTACGCGCGATCATTCATAACTAACACGCACACAAGTTGGTGCACAGTAAAAGTAAGGTATTTATGAATGACTACCCCATTGTCAACACATTCTGTTTTTTAGGGAATAGAATGACATTTTTTTTGGAAAAAAAAGCTGTTTTTTATTTCAATAAAAAAATCTTCGTGTGTAAATTTGGGCACTTCTCACAAAATCTCCCTGTATATTTAGAACCCTTTAAAATATTTTAAGTCCATTAAATTCACACTATACTTACATAATACGGATCTCGAATAATTCTGTCACCTTGAGGATCAAAATCACCAAAAAGCAGTAATTTTGCCTTGCTACCTTGTGGCGCCCTCTTTTTCAGGTCTCTCATGTTAGATTCATCCATTCCAAATATGTAATCATAATGATTAAAATCCTCTGATGTTATCTATAAGAAAATAGAAGAAACAGAAGTGAAAGCCAAGCTGGCTTCCGAAAAGCCAAGCCCATTTGAATGTACATTGAGCTACTTGCAACTAATCAGCAACCAGGTCCTTAACCACATAGTCTCGACACATATTCGTTGTAATATTTCATTACAATTGCTATTGTATCTATCACAGAGAGTACTCTGAGTTGTTCAGTTTTATATCAACTGCTTAGTTTCACCACTGTACAATGAGTCAAAACTGCCAAATACCATAGCTCAACATTGGTAGTGCACCTCTGTGTATTTCTCACTTTATTTTCAGCCACACACATAAGTTTATAAGGAATACACCAAATAGTCGCCAGCAGACTGATAGATTGCGATTTTAGGACCTTCAAAAAGAAAGCTTAATCGAACCTCAAAGCCCAATAGTGCATTTGTCACTAATCTGTTGTGGCGAGTGTTCTTGGATGATGATTTTTTTTTATGTGACAAAGTAGCAAATGAGCTGGCAGTTCACCTAATGTTAAGTGATAACCACCTACCCATCGACATTTGCAACACCTGTAGGTTTGCAGATGCATAGCCACCTCTTAATAATGTTGGCCCCGGCAACCTCACTCACCAGACAAAACACAAAGTGCAACACTTCTACTTTACGCCAGTCTTCTGTTAGGTTGTGGTACTAACCCGGACAGACCTGCCCATTTGTGCAACAGTGAACACTGTTGCATGGCCCTACCACCGGAGAAACACTTACCAATAAGTAGTCCCCATACTCTTTTGGTTCCTTTTCAAATTAAGCTAGTAATAATATACGAAATATAAGCAATTTATTTAAGTATTTTATTTTAATCACCTGCCTAGCACAATTGTTGTAAGGTACATTGTGTTTTTTCATAGTGTCCAACGCTCTCCAATCTGGCGGATTCCCTACATGCCATCCGCCTATGGCTGCACTGTCGATCTCCCATTTGTCTCCCATCCCCATATCATTGACAGTCTTTTGGAAAACACCTTCCGCTATTGGGGAGCGACAAATATTTCCTTGACAGAAAAAAAACCTTTTTATGATTACGCTTAAGAAACATATACAACTGCTAAAAGTAATATTACCTAAACATATGAATAATGCTTTCTTCATTTCTTTAGGCATTTCTTTGTACTTTTTCTCCAGCTTTTCAAGAACTGCGGATAAATTTTATTATGGAATCTTGCCCAGAAATAAATTCTCGAAAGAGAACAGCTGTAAAATTTTAATTGCCAGAAAATGTCGCATATAGTTTTGCAATTTGCACAATAAATAAGTTAAGAGTTAAGAGCACAGAACACTTTTACTCAAAGAGGTTAGGTGGTTAAGAGGTTTTGTTAATTTGACTGAAGTTAAAGTTATTTTATTTACTACTTTTTAGTGAAAGTCGAAGTAGGGATGTTGAAAAATATCGGTATTTTTGATTTTTTATTTTGAAATTTTTAGCCGATGGATGCGTTATATCGATATAAAATATTCAATATCAAAATCAAACCAAAAATGATATTTTTTCAAATTCGAGTCCGGTACAGAGTCCGTAGATGTCAATTATTTCTGATGTTAAAGAGGACACGGATGGCAGGAGCACGAATCGGTCTCGTAGTGCTGCAAGAGGGCGAGGGAATCAGAATCAGAGGTTTATCCTTCTCCGAGGCGTGATCACGCGCAGTACCAAGGACACCGGTGCGTTCCATAAAAGATCCCGGCCCTATATAACTGCGTGTAAAGAGTACAATTCTTCATGGTCAATTATTGCGCTTAATTTATTGCTCTAGTATGTAAAAGAAAATGGCCTTAATACTGTCTTATTTGCAAACGTATGTGAAACGATACGAAGTATTGATTAGAAGTTTAGTTTTTTATTCAACAGCAAAATGAGGATCATGATGTACTTATATTTGTCATATTTTGTGTAAAGTGGTGATATTGTGTCACGCTTTTTAAATGACCATATTTTCGTTGACTGTTTCATTGTAATCAATGTTTATAAATTTAGATATATGATGTAAAAAATGTAAAGTAACAGCCTATAAATGTCTGGGCAAAGGCCTACTCTGTACAGGGGGTATCAGGGTGGATTGATGGACTTCACATATTTTCGAAATCATGTTTTGTTATTATTTCGACAATATGCAGGTTTCCTCACGATGTTTTCCGTGAGGAAATAGCTATATCCGATGATAAGTCAGCACTTAAAATTAACAATTTCATTGGTACTGGCACCAGGGATCGAACTCAAGTTGCTCGAGTAAATTCAATTAAAGGCGAGCGCCCAGTAACACTGAGTTATTACGGCTCATGATTTAGCGAACCTTTTTGGATCTAGACTCGCATTTATGAATGCTAATTGTTCAACCTTTTGGGAGTTAAGGAGACATCTTTTTTCATTAATAATCAATATTTTTCGGAGAATAACCTTTCACAAGTTACCGAAGTTGTCAAAATATTGCATTTAGTGTAATATAGTTCACAAAAGTGAGGGTAAATTACTTTGTGCTCACGACGCTAATGTGCTGGATTATTCCATTTTCCCGCGGTGTTTTTTTTATAAATTAATATTTATATTTAGAATACTTATAATATTATACGTCTCATTATTTATTTTTGATGTGAAACATCTTTAGCCGTACGTAAAACCGATTTCTGGCGTGGCGACGCATGCCGTGGCGACGCGTCGCCACGCTATATGATGGTATAGCGTGTCGTTACCATCGCGACAATAAATGAACACACGTCTAACGCTACTTGCCACTAATCATAAAAAATATTAACGTAAAAACAAAATCCATAATTAAAAAAAAATATTTTTCAAACAAACTAATTAAGTAAAAAAGAAACAAAATTTGTAACATCCTATACAACTCGCGCCACAGCGCATTACAAGCCTCTCCTTCTAACAGTATGAAAAAAAAAATTGTAATATTTTATTTTATTATTATGACATATTTAGTTCCTATAACGATCTGTTCTTGTCTGCATATTACTTTTACAAAATAATGTCGATGTTTCACATCTGCCAGGCGTCCCGTGACGGCTCACATTTTTTTTTGTTATTATTTGGTAGAAAATTATTTTCTGATGTGGCAACTTTCATCCCATGTTTTAAAGTACCGGGATTTCCCGATTATTGTGTTTTAATGTACGTTGTTAAGTCATATGATTATGAACGGTAAATATCAGCAATAAGGTTTATTTTGTTGTTAATAGAACTCATCGAGGTTTATGTCAACGTATGTTGTATTTTCTAATTTTTTATTATTCTATACCTTTTTTTCTTTTGGAGTTTATTGTGTGTAGTTGTGTCTTCCGTGCATGATGAAAAGAAAATACGAGCGTTTGTTCGGATCTGAGAGGGATCCTTTGCTTCCTTCTTGGATTTCCAGAGCCAAGGAGGATCCTGATATTGCATTTTGCAAAGCTTTCAATAGTAAACTAGTCACAACCACATCAACGCTTGCAGTTGTTACGAAATATTTTTCCGAAAGAGGTTTTTCCGTAAAAACAATTTTTTTAATTTATTTTTAAATTTTTATAAACTTTGCAAAAGCTCTTTTAGGTTTGGCTATGTCAAATGGGAAAAATAGCGGGTAAAATACCCAGAGGCTATAATCTTAAAACATCAAGTCCCCGCGCCGCACTCCAGCAGGTAACAGAACGAAACTTTTCTAGCGAAACCAATGGAGAAAACCACCAATTGAATCTTGGAGATGAGTCAGGATCCTCAGCAGTGAGGGAACGATCAACAAGAAGATGTCAAATGCTTCATGCGAAATAATATCTATTTCATTAATTATACTATACTGTCTCCAACGACATAAATATGATGGCATGTTTTTGGAGTTGAATTTGGCAGATTTTTTGCTAGTTAGGGATGCCGAAAGTGAAAAAATATATCGATTTTTATACGAAATATTGAATCGTATCAAAAATATCGTTGTTAATACGATTCGATATTGAATGTTTTATATCGATATATTGGATCAAAATATTTCTGCTAAAACTGGCCATCGATAACCATTCAAAAAATATCGATATTTTTTCGTCATCCCTATTCCCTACACAATCACAATTCACAATTATAAAAATATAGTGTTAGCGCTAGCAAAAAAACAGTAAATAAATAGAATTAGCAACAGTAAACGTAGTGATTACATTCTCTTTGTTAGCAAGGCTTTACTCTTTGGAGCAGCAGACTGCTTCAAAACTCATTATTGATGGTGGATCATCTCCTTGGACTAAATTATGTTATGTGTACTGTACGTTAGTGAAAATTGAAGAATACAATTTCGTTGCAGAATTAAAGTTCCATTTGGTTTAATAAAAAACTATGTTTACTTTCAAAATTCTAAATAGTGTAAAAACTAGCTTAATTATTTATGGTGACCCTTTTAATTGTGAGGGAAAAGACGTTATTGTTTGTATAACAGGAAATCCTGGTATTATCGATTTTTACACAGAATTTGGTGAAGAACTTTACAAAAATACAGGTTTAGCAGTCTGTGTTATAGGTAAATAAGTATATATTTCATTAATTCATCTCAAATATAATAAGAGTGATACTAAATTTCCTAACAGGTAACAGATGAATAATTTGATTATTTTTTTTTAAAAACATTGCCCTTACTGTAGGATAACATTATTGTGTTGTAAGATCGGTTTGCAAACAAATTTCACATGAACAAACACACGGGTCCAAAAGAATTATCCGTGTGTCACACAAATACTTTCCTGTGTGGGAATTGAACCCACGACCCTTGAAGCCGATAACTTGACAACTGCGCCACAGGGTCATCATACCTATTCAATGTGCATAATGATGCGTGGGATTGTTTTTTTATTATTTAATTAATATTGGATATCACATTGAATATACAGGAATAAAAATCCTGTATAAATTATTATAATGTTGTAAATCTTCATAGTGCAAATGTTTTAAAGCTTAATAATTTTACAATGAAATAACATGTTGTAAGTGATGCTTAATTTTAGGTCATGCAGGTCATGAGGACATGCCAGATGAAGAAGAGTCAAGTAAATTAGAAGGTCATGAACATCTATTTAATTTAGAAGGACAGTTGAAGCATAAAGTAGATCTAATTAACAACTTTTTAGATAAAAAGAGTAAATTGCACTTAATTGGGCATTCTATAGGTTCTTGGTTTATTATAGAATTGTTATATAATAATGAAAACATATATAAAAGAACAGCATCTGTTAATTTGCTGTTTCCTACCATACAGAAAATGGCTAAATCTAAAAATGGTATGTGGTTAAATAACTTTATAAGGAGGATACATAATATAATTATATTATTATTTACATTTCTAAATTTATTGCCCGAATCAGTATGTTTGTTCATAATAAATATGTGTCTTTGGTGTAAGGCTTTGCCAATTTATTATAATAGAAGAGTATTAAAATATGTAAACCCCAAAGTTAGTGCAAAATTTCTTTTTCTTGCATATGATGAAATGGATAAAGTCACTTCATTGAATTTTAAAGCAATTGAAAAAATCAAAGAAAAAACAAATGTAATATTTAGTGATGATGATGGATGGGTACCTTTAAACTACATCAAAGACTTAGAAATTTACCAACCACATCTCCTGTTGAGAAAAGTTAATATTGAACATGCTTTTGTTTTAAAATCATCAAAACCCATTGCAATAATGGTGTCTGATTTTATTAAAATGAAAGTATCTGATTGTTGAATAAAGAAATCTAAAACAATTTTCACAATTTTAAATGTTCTGTGATGGTTCTATGTTGAAGTTTGTTGTTAAAATGTGTGTTATGGAAGTGGGTTTATTACCAGTTTACTATAATTTAGTTTTATTAATTTTATAAAATCATGGAATATTAAATTTGTTTGTATAATTATGTAAATATCACATCACTATAAACAAAATGTAAATATAATTTCATCATCTTAAGCAGTTTTATTAAGTCAGATTAACAGTATTTTATATTTGCATAAGGTGTAATACAATTACTGATTTTTACTGATTTAACTAATTCTACTAACACAATAATTACTTTAAAAAATTTTTAAGTTAAATATGTTTATTTTATGTTTTTTTTTTTTTGTTAATATTGTATTGTCATATGCCAAATTTCAGATCAATCTGATAACGGCAAGGTGCTTAAATTTCAATTTCTAATTTTGACCCAAATAAATAAACAAACAAATTCCGTACGGGTCGAGCTAAATAAAACCGTTTAAAAATTACCTATATTTTTGTGTTAGTAGAATTAGTTAAAATAATCATAATTTTGTAAAGAACATGTTAATAAAAATGATAAGCATATTATGGGACATAATATGTTTATCCTTTTCAATGATATTAAATATACACAAATGAAATTCAAAAAACGCTTCAATAGAGTGCAATTTTGTATTATGAAAGAATTAATGGTTCATTATGGTAAAGTTCCTTTGTCAATTGCTTCATTTATTTAGAAATAACATAGTTATGAAAACTACTCTAAATTGCAAATTAAGATACGTAAGCGGAGGACAGCAAAGAGAATGTAATCACTACTATTGGAGGACAGGCACTATTCAGAATGGTGCGGGGTAGTGTTGCATATCGATAGACAATCGATTATCCATCGATAGTTAAGGTAAAAGCAATAGTATTGCCACGTGTCAATACTGTCGATACTTCTATACCGATAGTATCGATGGCTCTCCAAGTGCCAATACTATTGATAACAGCAATAATATCGATAGTATTGCAATTGCCATTAGTTTTTGACAAAAACTATCGATAATATCGATGATTTTTTACTATCAATAGCCTTTTACTGGCTATCGATAGTATAAACCTATCGGTAGTTTTTCGATTAGTTTATCGTTGATTGTTAATAAACGTGCCATTTTCAGTTTTTGTTGCTTTTCCATCAACTTTCAATAATTAGCGCCATTTTTAATGAAACAAATTAAGTATAAAAACTAGACAAAAGTGAAAATTACGCAATGACTCAACAGAATGATATGCATTTATGCAAGTAAGTCGCAAAGCGTTTATTGCGATATTTTTTTAATCATTTATGTACACAGTGTTGATTTTTTTTATTATAAGTATATAATAGTTACAACGAAATATTATTGGATTTGTTCAAAGTTGAAACAGTTTGAGAACAATCTATCAGTAAATAAACCAACTTTTAGTATTAAAATTTTTTAACGTCATATATTTTTTAATTCATTTATTTACTTGTTCTCCCTAAATTGAAAATTTATCTTATACACGAAAAATAATTATTTTATAATTTGTTTATTTCCCAAATTGAGCTATTTTATAAAATAAAAACAAAATAATTAGTTGGCTAACAAATAATAAGTGAAAATAATATAAAAAATACAACTCCACTCGATGAGTGGTTTGAACTTGGGACTATAGCAATAGTTTACCGTTGTGTATGACGCTCGGACCAACAGGCTACGCAAGTTCTGGGGAAAAAAAAAATCGATTCTAGTTATAATTGCTGTCGTTTATCGATACAAATAAGGATTTTATCGATAGTTTTTTAAATTTCATTGTAGTTGAAAAAGTAATATAACATAGGAAGTCTTGAACATTTAAAGGATAAATTAAAATTCCTAATATATAAAAAAAAATTAACAAATAAGTTGTATTCGTAATTTTTGCAAACATTTTATGAGCTATTTCTTTAAAATCACAATATAAACCATGAAAACAAAAAATAATAATTGTAAGTAATTTGCTTTTATTAATTTATTTGACTATAAGATGTATATTTTTAATCAATTCCTTTTCCATTTAATTAAAAAATAATAAGAAACAGGAAAATTTTCTAAAATTGTTGATTGGTTTCTCATACTTTATATTTGTTTGTTTATTATTGTTCCTATTATAATATAAAAGTAAAATACAATCATGGTCTATAAAAGATTTTATAGGAATCATCTGTGTACATTTTCGAAAGCCTTCCATGATACTATCGATAGTATCCTACGGCCATCACTACACACACACACTAGGTAATGAATGACTTGGTCTAGCGGCGCGTCGACGAAACTCGCGCGCTGCGCGCCGTTACCCCTCCTCCGCTTCCTCATACTTCACCACCCAAGTAGTTAAAAATTCACTGCATACAGCGCCTTAATAACATTTCATACATTACCGAAGCATTAGGTGTATTCCATACATCGCAAAGGTATTTTATAAAAACCCCATAGTAAAGATTTCCGGAACATCTGCACCACAGAACACTAATACTCTCACGAGATCTGCACCTATAAAAACGTCAGTAGATTTCCGCCATCCAAGATTGTCTAAAGAAAATAAAATGATTTTGAAGACTAAATGAAATTATGTTTCTTTTTCAAACAATTTATTTTATAATTGAATATTACAAATGACCAAATGTTATTCTTTATTTAATGATTAGCCGCTACACGCAAAAAACTGTTAGTGATAAAATCTGAAATTTAATGTCGATATTAACAATAAAATTACAACTAGCTTACAAAGTTTTCATGACAGACTCCACTTTAATGGAGCGCATCGAAAGTGGTCGCGTGTAGGGACCATGTACTTGTGATCATGTACCCTTCACTATAAATAAGATAAATTATCGTACTTGCAACATGGTGTGAATGAATTTATCCCAGCAACTTTTTACAATAAGAGATTCAGGAAAAGTAGTAATTTCTGTAGGGTACATGACATTGTTACTATTGGTAGGTCACAAATAAATGTTATAATACAAGCAAATGTTACATATATTCATTTTTAAATCCTAGTAAATAAAATCTTTTCATAGTTTTTCATATATTAGGTGTGGATAAACAATGTTTACTGAGATTACTATCTAAAGAACAGTCGTTTCGTGAATGTAGTTCCTTTGAAGGTTATTTGCAAAAGATGATCAAAGACATAATGTACAATTAATTTTTATATTAATATCCTACAAGATAATCTATTAAATATTTAATAGTTCAACTTATTTGCGTGTCTTTGGATGTCTATGTACATTGAGGATGGTGATGATCTTTTGTAAGTACATTTGGTATTTGGAAGCCCAGGCAGGGTACAAAAATGACATAGTTTAAACATAAAATAAGCCATTTACAATATAACTTCATAAAAATATAAAACTCATAAAGTGCATAAAGCCTGCAGCAATGTTTCCAATTTATATCTAATCTAGGTGTGATATGGGCGTAAAATAAAAAAAAAAATCAATGACGCATGAATTGGACCACAATTAGTTAAATACAAATTAATATACTATATATACGTACCTATTCAGGGCCGGATTTAGGGCAGGTCAACTTTGAGACTTTGGAAAAAAAATTTCAAATTCAGACTTAATCAAACATGATTAAATTAAATATTAACAGAAATGAATAGAAAATAATTTGGGGGGCAAGTGGCCTCCACTCTTTTTTGCCCTGAGGCCTTCAGACCTCTAAATCTGGCCCTGTACCTATCAAACAATATAAACCACAATAAGGACTATGTAGAATTATATCGATACGTAAGTTATCTCGGGATTTATCGCATCTGCCATCATTCAAATGGAGGCCGTGGTCAGAACTGTAGGTAAAAATTGAGGTTAAAATATATTAAATTTTCCACACTCACAAATATTAAATTTGCGAGTTTGTGGTTCAATTTGCGTCATAATGGAATGTATGGAGATTGCGACAAGACCCAAACTTCCGTTTCTATTTATAATTAAATATAATAAAATATGATAACTATATTAAATTTGAAAATGCAATTAAAACTTTAACAATTCATACTTATTATGGATTTTTAGACTTTTTTCAGAGGACTGTGCGTAATTCATAGGTATTTATATCGGTGTATAAATTAACGTAGGAACTAGCAAGATATCTTCACATATTTTACAAGAGTATGGTCAATATTAAGTATTTTACTTCTATAAATTAAAAATCTATCTAATTCAAATGCAACCATCGACATACATTCGGCAATCACATCGTACAACCCTATAAATTTAAATGTAATTACAATAAAAAAATCATTCAGAAATTATCATACTTCATAACATGGGGACAACTATAATCATCGAATATTATACAATCGTAATTTGGAAACCTTATAACTAGAGGGTATACAAAAATTCGTTCTAATAATACTCATACATCGATAAGGACAGGGGGGAGGGGGGGGGGGGGGGGGACAGGACAAGAGGTGCTCAGCAGGTGGTCTCGAGAAGGGGATCGGCGGGCTTGGCTTGGGGCTTGGGGCGCTCCTCGGGCGGCGCACAGATGGCCCTCTGCGAGGCGGACTTGTAGAGGCGGCGGGGGCGGGCCTCGTCGTCCGAGTGGGCGCGCACGGGGCCCGCGCGAGGCCCCGCCGCCAGGCGCGAACCGCCGCGCGGCGAGCACGTGCACTGCGCCGCACTGGCGCGCCAGCACTCGCAGCCGCCGCGGCCGCACGCCTCGCACACGGCCGCCGCGCGCTCGAGCCGGCCGCGCCGCCACGCGCCGCCCATCTCCGCCGCCTCGGCGGGCCGCAGGCTCGAGCTCTTCACCCAGGGTCGGCGGCGCGGGCCGCGGCGCGCGCGCTCCGGCTCGCGCTCTTCAGGTCAACCTCGCTCATCTTGCGCCACGGGTCGCCGAGCACGGGGCGCGGCTCGGCGAGCGCGCGCGGCGTCGCCTCGGGCGAGGAGCGCTCGCTGCGCGTCACCGCCGGCCGCAGCGGCGACGGCGCCAGCGACGCGCCCGGCGTGCGCGCGGGCGAACGCGCGGGCGAACGCGCGGGCGAGCGGGCGGGCGAGGGCGGGCGAGCGGGCGGGCGTGGCGGCGGGCGAGGCGCGCGGCCGCTCCGAGTGCGAGCGCGCGCGCGGCGCTAGCGAGCGGCTCGACGGCGTCACGTCGCTGAGCGAGCGCAGGTGCACGCGGCGGCGCACGCCCGCCGGCGAGTCCGCGTCCGTCACGCTGATGCTGATGTTGTGCGCCACCCTGGGGCTGCGCGCGGCCGACTCCGAGGGCTCCTTGTTCTCCGAACGCTTGTCGCTCTCCCGCGCGTGGTGCGGGCTGAGGGAGTCGTTCACGTTTGCTGATTTGTTGGGGCCGGCCCGACTTGGCCCGGCCCCCGCTAGCTAGAGTAGTCTCTCGGTGGCTGAACTCGACGTACCGGAACTCAATGTCGACGCGGGGTTTTGATCATCACCTGCATTCATATTTTATAATTATACTATGTTTTGGAAACTAAATACGTCTTATGGAAAACCTCCTTATTTTGTAAACGAAATTCTTCTTTAGGTCAAGTATTTATATCGACTTCGAATTAAGAAGAAAAGAAAAAGTGTTCCTGTTTAATAAATATAACGCGAACTAAAATAGTTTGGGTAGCTCACAGGGAAACAGCGCATTACGTCGTTACGTAGAGTTAACTATAGGTTTATTTACCTTTCTTACACAATGCTAAAACTAGGAATACTTTGAAGTCAACATTAAAATAAATATTTCCGAAGTAAGGATTGAGGCCAGTGGCAATTAACTTATTTGGAGAAATAACTCGAATACTACCAAATAGGTTGATTGTTTTTTCTACTTTTCAACTTTCAAATATTTAAAAGATGAACAGTACGTACATATGGTGCACTTTACGTATAAATACTTCCCCGACTCAAATTTCGACGTATCGTGGGTATCGTATATGACTTTTGTACATAAAACAATCACAAATCTCTCTCATTACAAATGTTCTAAGCATCCACCCTGTTGGAAGTGTTGAGTTTTAATTTACATGGTTCTCAAGACTAAAGCCTAAATGACGTATCTAATAAACGGAGTAGGTTTATTACGTTTCCTCAGTTAAGCATAATCTTATGAAAACGATCAATCCATTATCATCCATCATTGATCAAACGATCACATTGGCTTATGAAAACGATCGTGATAAATATCATCATAAAGAACGATACAATGTTTCGATTAACATGAAATGTTGTATTTATTATGTAGTTTTAACTGTGGTACGGCCATGCAACAGCTTCGGCTGACACAGCTTCGGGTTACCACGATCTCACAGAAGACCGGCGTCAAGTGGAAGTATAATACTTTCGCATTTCGTCTGGTGAGTGGGGTAGCCGGAGCCCAATTTTCAAACGCATCAGCAACCCTCGGGAGTAGCAGAATTCCATGGGCGGCAGTATTCAATTAACATCGGGTGAACTGCCTGCTCGCTTGGCGAATTTCACATAAAAAAAAGTATGGAAACTCATCTTACATATTTGAAGTAAATTACATAAATAAAATATATTTACGGATCTTTATGTATAGCCCCAGAATATCAGGGAGTGTTTTTTTATGTCAGAAGGTGACAAACAAGATGGCGGTTAACCTGGTGTTAAGTGATAACTGCCGCCCATTGACAGTTACAAAACCCTACGGGTTGCAGATGCTACCTCTCTCACCAGACGAAACGCAGAACTATAACACTTCCACTACACGCCGGTCTTCTGTGCGATCGTGTTACTTACCCGGACGGACTTCCCATTACTGCAACAGAATCAAAAGACTGTTGCGTGGCTCTACCACATACTGTGTCAGAGTTTTGAATGTGTCGCCAGAACTCAATGACACCTTAGAGACGGAAGGTGCTCCTAGATTGGCCAGTAGTCCTTACTACGCCTACATACAGTATGATTTTCTAACGCGCTTTAAACTGCAACTTTTGATGGTCCACGGTATTGGAGAGACTTACATAAGTGTTATATGTCGATAATAATATAATCTGTGTGTATGTTTTATTGGATTTGTATATGAGAAATCGGATTTATGATAGTGACAAAAAAGTTTGATTGTGATAGATTTTTTAGTGCATCACGGACGTATTGAGATTTTAAACATCCTTTTGTTAACTCAAATGACATTTTAGAAGCAATTTGACAGCTGATTAGTTAATTTCTACCATGATCAGTGTTTCATTAATTGTGCGTTAGTCTCAAAAATTACTGGTTGTTTAAAAATAAAGTGCTTTTGAATTATATCACCTTGAGTAGTCTGGCCTGTGGCCGGAAGTCTTTGTCAGTTGAGCAATTCCACCGAAACGAATCGTTTCAGCCTCTCCAGATATTGGTTGAAAAGCTCCACGTCATTGTGGCCCGCTCCCTGCAGAAAAATGAAGCAATTTAATAGAATAATAAAAACACAATAAAGATTTTTTTTGGAAAATGGCGCCAACAGTAAAAATGAATATAAGCAAAGGTATTTTTTGTTTTCTTCACCCATTTTGGGTAGGCAAAGGGAATTATGCCCATACAGCCAATTCTTCAGTAGATTTTTTTATTGATATGAAATGAAAATGTTTAATGGATGAAATCTAACCTAACTCATTGAATCAAATCATTCAATCTATACTGAAACAAATTAGTAGCTTCTTTTTAGAAATATTTGCATGAGTCGAAAAACTTCTATGACTTTTTTTGGTAAGAACTTCGTGGTTGTTTTTTTCTTTTTAATAAACATTATTTTGACAGTTAGGAAAGAGAACGCACGTGTTCTGAAAAGGTAAAGAAAAAGCTCGAGTATGTAATAGCCCACATCCCGAACGCTATACGTCCCTGCAATACGCCACTTTTTGTGCAACTGTATTAAAAAAACTTGAAATAATTCAAACAGTGGCGAATGCGATACTAAAAAAACATTTCATTCCATTACAGTTTGTCATCTCGAAATTTTGAAATCTTGCTCGCATGCGGAGCAATTATTCTGTATGTCATCCAATTATCTAGAGCGGGCATCAAACCGGCGACTGGCTTTTACGCAGCGTGACACAGTAGAGTAAAAACCCCCTTCTCGCTGCGACTTTCACGAATGTTTTAGCTTCTAGTTATAGATATAGATCGTAAGTCCCCCCCCCCATATAACTTTGCATTATCAGTAACAAAATACTTTAGTGCATATAAAGTTTTTTTTTTTTTGCTGGAGCGCTAAGTGAGCTTGCGGTTCACCTGATGTTAAGTGACAATCGACGCCCATGGACATTTGCAACACCTTCACTCCACGCCGGTTTCTGTGAGGTCGGGGTACCTACCAGGTGGAACCCGCCCATTCGTGCTGCAGCCGAGGCTGTTGCGTGACCCTACCTCTGTATTATAATACAAATAAATAATAATCACCTCAACCCATAAGGGTTCGACGGCGCGGGGGCAACGCTCGTAAATTGCTAGTCCATGGGAAAAGTCTATCACCTCGTCCTCGGTTCCATGTATGACCAGAACTGGGGAGGTCACCTTCGGAATTTTATCGATACTGCAAAACAATGGAATTTTAACGAATTATTGTACAAGTAACAACTATTATAAGAACAGGGGCTTCGATAAACACTGCACTAGCATTGTTATGATGATAAATGACCTATTATTAGTTATGCTCAGTAATGATTTTTAACCAACTTCAAAAGGAGAAAATTCTATGTTCGACTTTATGTATTTTTTTTGTATGTATGTTCACCGATTTCTCTCTCATTTGTGAACCGCTGTTTCAAAATTCGTTTTTTTTTTTAACTATTTCGCATTGGAGGAGGAAGGTTTCATAAACGTCAAAAATCACCAACACAAACGGCACCCAGATTTAGAACGTAAATTGTATGCTTGTTGACAAAGTGACTATCCGGTTTGATATGACTAGAGTTCATTGTTGGCCTTTGACTGGAGAAAAGCGGAAGCCATGTTTGATATCAATTCAATGGAATTCTAAAATAAATTATGCAAAAGGACATTACAATAAAAAGAGATTTGCAGGTCAGTAAACATCACCAAATTCAACAATTTTTTTGCAGGGAAGCTCAAAGTTAAAGTGTGTCAGTAACAGAGATGCCGCGAAAAGTGGTTTAACCACGTAAAGAAATATTAGCAAAAATTGTAAATTTATGAATCTTCTTATGGCAGTTATGTATGTCGTGAACCACTGGGAAAAGTTTTTTTTACTTTAGAGAGGTTATTAGTTAGTTTTTACCCGACTGCGCCAGAACAGGGGTTATGCACGCTCTGCAGCCAGAACGGCTTGATGGATGCTTGAGTGGTGTCGTTAAATTCGTATTCGTAACTGTGAGAATGACTCTGGGTATATCAAAATTATAAAAATACAAAGAAACGCAGTCGGGTTTTTTATATACAGTGTGTCGTTACCATCGCGACAATAAATGAACACACTTCTAACCCTACTTGCCAATAATCATAAAAAAACATTAACGTTAAACAAAATCCATAATTAAAAAAAAATATTTTTCAAACAAACTAATTAAGTAAAAAAGAAACAAAATTTGTAACATCCTATACAACTCGCGCCACAGCGTCGTATTACAAGCCTCTCTTTCTAACAGTGTGTTTTTTCTCTTTTAAATACATTCAACCCATTCATATGCTTTGTGACCTTGACAAATGAACTTTACGTTACCCTTTTATAGGTAAGGTTGTTCTAAAATTTTTTGTTTTGGAAAATTTAATAACTCTGTAAATATTGATGTTTAAAGAATTTAAATGTTTAATACAACTTTAAAAAGTTATCCCCTATATGTGTGTTCATTTATTGTCGCGATGGTAACAACACGCTGTATATTACACTTGTTAACTGTCAAGTATATAGTATTTCATTGACTACAGTATACCAGGGTTACACTGAAAGTTTTTGGAACTGGCTATTTAGGCTTTATTGATACATTGAATTTGTTTTTGTGAATTGGCGGCAATATCAAAGTTTTTACATCATGAATTTAACACTTTCTTTTTTTTTAGTAAATTTTCGGTCCATTATTAATTACTTTCGTTGTAGACTTATTCAACATCAAAGCTATGATCCCATATAACTGTTTACAATTGGTTTAATGAGTTTAAGCATGGGCGTGGCAAATTCAGTGATGATCTGTGTGGGGGACTTCCTTCTACAGCGACATCTGAAGATAACATAATTGCTGTGCGACGCACGATAGAGGAAGATAACAGAGTGACCTACCAGCAGATTCGGTCAAGCTTAGGCATTGGTATGAGTCAAATAAAAAAAACATTACACTACCATTTAGGCGTTAGGAAAGGAATCTCATTCTTTGGTCGGAAAAGTAATTTCGCGACTGTTGTGCTGGAAGATGGAAGGAAAGTTAGTGCACACCAATGTTACCCATTGTTTGTCTGTGTCTTGGAAAATATTTAACAGCAGTGTCCACGAAGCGGGATTCTACTTCACCACGACAACGCTTCAGCGCATTCCGCGAAACGAAAAATTGAATATTTTACAATGGGTTGAGATAATGAGGCGCCCGTAATATCCTCCCTGAGACTTTAATTTATTACCAAGAATCAAAAATGAACTTCAAGGTAATTTACTTTGCGAGCCCTGAAGAAGCTGTATGTTCAAAAATGCCTTAGAAGAAACTCCTTAAGAATAATGGGACCACTGCTTTTCTCAATGGTCCCATACAATACAAAGATATATAGAGAGGAACAGACACTAGTTTGAACAATAATAAAAGTATTGGCAACTTTGTATATTGAGCTGTATTATGATTTTCTAACAATTTTTATTGTGACCCATGTAATAAAAATTAAAATTAAAAAGTTCAATTTGAATTTGGTGAATTTAAAGAAACTTATTTTATCATACAAACTCATACTTCTTAAATTAAATTTTTAATAAAAGAACTTCATTATTTTATTGATTGTTACATGAAAAGCAGTGTTAAGATATGATAAGATAAACACAAAAGTAAGTAAAGTATCAGTCTATACATATGTTCATAGCTGCGCAAAGGCCTCCTCTGTACAGAAGGTATTAGGGCATATAACATGTATATAAATAAAATTGAATGTTTGAATTGATAAGTAATAGCTAACTAATTTTTTTTGGATAATGCCTGTATGATTAAATAGATATAACATATTAAAATGACCTTACAGATAATCAATAGCTTAGCAGACTTTATGAACAATTAATAGCTTAGCAGACGCTTACTAAATTGATCATTATTAAACAATAATTTCCCAATTTAAATATATTTATTGTTTAAAAAAGTAATGCATACAGCGTGTTGTTACCATCGCGACAATAAATGAACACAGATCTAACGCTACATGCCAATAATCATAAAAAAATATTAAAGTTAAACAAAATCCATAATTAAAAAAAAATATTTTTCAAACAAAACAATTAAGTAAAAAAGAAACAAAATTTGTAACATCCTATACAACTCGCGCTACAGCGTCGTATTAGAAGCCTCTCCTTCTAAAAGTATTTTTTGTCTCTTTTAAATTCATTCAACCCATTCAATATGCTTTGTGACCTCTACAAATGAACTTTACGCTTTTATAGGTGAGGGTGTTCTTAAATTATTTGTTTTGGAAAATTTAATAACTCGGTAAATATTGATGTTTAAAGAATTTAAATGTTTAATACAACTTAAAAAAGTTCCCCTATATGTGTGTTCATTTATTGTCGCGATGGTAATGACAAGCTGTATACAAGCTGTAGTGACACTAATATAATAAAGTGGGACACACAACTTCATAGAAGCCTTACTAATAAGATTATACGATAAAAATTAATGACATGTACAATTAGTAATAACTAGTGCCGTTATTCATTACTATTGAATGTTTTAGTTCAAGTAGGATACTGATGCAGCATGGCTATTAAATATGTTATTAAGCATTTTAATAGCGAAAATCCTGATAGTGGTGATAAATTATTTAATAACTTCTTTTTTATTAGATGTGAGAAGGGGGCAAGGTAGCCAGCAATTCACCTGATATTAGGTGATAACTGTCGCCCATGGACATTTGCAACACCATTAGGGTTGCCAGTTTTTAATAAAGTACACCTTATAAATTGTTGTCAGAATGTGTAAACACAACCATTTATTTGTACCATTTGCTACTTTAATTTCTTCCTTTAATAGTAACTCTACAATCGATGATTAATATTTTAACTTAAATAAGATGTATATAGCGTGTCGTTACAACCGCGAAAATAAATGAACGAAATTTAATCGTAGTTTCAACTCTTTCAAAACTAATAAAATTTACATTATTTCAGTTTTTGGTATACGTAATGTTGTATACAGTGTGTCTTTACAATTGAGACAGTAAATGAACACACATATAGAGGATAACTTTTTAAAATTGTATTAAACATTTACATTCTTTAAACAACAATATTTACCGAGTTATTAAATTTTCCAAAACAAAGAATTTCAGAACACCCTTACTTATAAAACTTTAAAGTAAAGCTCTTTTGTAAAGGTCACAAAGCATATAAATGGGTTGAATGAATTTGGAAGAGACAAAACATACTGTTACAAGGAGAGGCTTGTAATGCGATGCTGTGTATTATTTATTATTAGATATATTTGTGAAATGATAGAAGCTATCGCATATGAACATAAATTTGTCCTACAGTCTATTTGAATTCAAGATAATTATGACGGTACCATTTTAATTAAAAGTAATAGGTATATTGACATTACATTATTAATATAATGGTTTAAGATAATGGTATGATGACCATAACAATATTCAATAGTCAATTTATAAAGGGTTGTTATTTGACAGAGCAACTTGCCAACCAACTCAAATATTATATAGCAACTAGATTTATTCATATTATTGATACACTAAAAATTGTAAACAATAATCTAAATCTTAACAAACAGAACTTCTAGAATAAAAGAATAGAAAAGAATCTGTAATGTTTAAAAGGATCTGTAATGTTTATCACGGTCAATGGATGTCCAACAAGACAAGCTTTGTAATGAACTTCATCACTGATAATGTTTTTGTTAATTTGGAGATTAAATCAAAGCTAGTGAAAGTAATAATCCTCAACTGTGTTCTTATCTCTATGTAATAAACAAAGACATTTGTTCTATTAAATTTGATATATTGTACAGACTGATGATAAGTAACATAATTTTGTCAAGTGTACCCAATTACATATTTACAAAGAAAACAAAACTCACCTTGGAAAGGCATCAAAGAACCATGTCCTCTTCGTGTTTGGGAAAGCAACTCGCATGCCAGACATAAGGGGTGAGTGTAACACCACAGCGCCTACTTCATAACGGGCTGCTAAGTCTACTGTAGGCACAGTACCAATGCTTTGGCCATACAGAATTATGTTCTCTGGACTAATACCATAACGTGTCCTAAGTGCTTGCCACGCAGCATCGATATCCGCGTACAAATTTTTTTCTGAAGGCTTGCCCCCGCTTACGCCATACCCAGAATAGTCATAGCTGAATATGTTACAATTTATTCTAGTGCCTAAGCCTAAATAAAAACTACTCATTTGTCCAAGATCTACCGCATTTCCATGGGAAAACAATATCGTGAAACGAGCATTCGGGCTGCATCGAACAAAGAGACAGGCAATTCGGTTGCCTCTCGTAGTTCTAGAGTAAAAACCTTCGATGTTTTCTTTTTCACGCTCTGAATATTGCCATTCTGCACGCTCAGTGAGTGTCAACGAAAATTTTGATCCAGTTTCGTCAGGTGTAAATGCATACGTGGGTTCGGGAGGCAGGAACGCAAGCTTAGCCGCGATTTTCCCCGGGCATGGCGGACAACAAAACAGGCAACAGAGTTCACTGAAACTTAACCCGTTCATGATGAAAATTTATTAATTATTGTAAAAATAAACGTATTTAAGCACTATCCATTAGAAACCACAACTCACAAATTACAGGTCATGGCGAAAATAAAAGAAATTTCACTAAATTTGACATTTAGACAACATTGCAGACATTTTTTAAGAGTACTATAATACTTTTAATTTAATGCCTTGGGAGGAATCCTTCAAGCCTTAAGCATAGAAAAAAAATACATGTTTATAAATTTATATTTTTTATGCTTTTAATTTTAACGATTATACTATTTTTAAACTAATATAAACAGAAATAAAGCGGATTTGTTGTTTTTCCTATTTACAATATTGTCTGTTGATCGGGCTGTATTTGATCGAAGTGTTATGGCGACAACTTTTGTGTTTTTGAAACATAGGACTACAAATATGCAAATATGATATGATGATATAGAGACTGTCGAAAGATATACTCTTCAGGCGCTGTAGAAATAGGTGATTGTCGATAGAGTCCTCGCATTTAAATAACTGAGTCTTAGGGGCCCTTTATTTCTCTAGTTGCCAAACCGAAATGTATATGTTAAGAATAAAATGTAGGTTTCCTCATTTTCATTTCTTGTTATTATTTTCTTTTTTACAACACCATCAAGAGGTTTTATCGACTTAATAGTTTTAACCTGCCTGAGTAGTGTAATAGTGGAGTGCGCGTGTGGATTCGGATGTATTCTTCAGAAGCAAATTCAGATACTATGTCACATTTATGGAAATTTTCCTTACGCTTGTAAATCCGTTCAATTTGGTACGTTCATTGACTTTGAAACTGTTAATTTAGTGCTACAACTCAGGATCTAGTTAATAAATTCTGGTTTAATCACTTATTCAAATTCAAACATCTGTAATCAATATGGAAGTATGCACTTACTCATTGATTGTCAAAATACTACTAGTGATTTAGAAAAAAAAGCCAACTGAACTTGATGAAAACCAGCCAAAAAACTTATCGGGATAATTTTTGAAGTTATCCTTTTTTATTCGCATTTGTAAAAAATAATGAGAGTAAAATTTTTATGATGCGCACGCACACCGACCTTAAAAAGCGACATGTAGTGTAGTTGATCATATCACTTTCAACTTCATGGTATTACCATAGCAACCAATACCAACTTTCGACATTTACTAGTAATTTCAAGTTATCTAAATAAACTGATATCGATTGCAGATTTTCGAGATCGATTTTAAAGAACAACATAACGTAAAGACGTTAAAGAAGTATAATTTCTTACGTGCGTGTAAGTACCCACATACTTTCCTATTATTATATACAAAGAAGCATGTTTACCATGTTTTGTTATTGTTATTCTCTTATTTTAAATCCAATAATATAAGTCTTTAACCATCCTTTTGGCAACTCAAATGACATTTGAAAAGCCATTTGACAGCTGAATAGTTAACTTCTACGATGATCTCGCCCGGTTTCTGAAACACTGATCATCGTGGATCACAATTCGCCTCGGTTACCTCACTCACCAGACAAATCGCATAAGTTTATCACTTCAACTTCACGCCGACGTTCTGTGAGGTCATGGTGGTTACCCGCCCTGCCCATTCATGCAACAGTGTTACCCTACCACAAAAAAATCATATTAGGATACTTCCACAAAAAGTGACGCATTAAGCAAGCGCGGGGCCCCTAGCAAATTCATTCAAACCGCTCTTTATCTGCTGTGAGTTCTTAAGTATAAAATGGTAAAAACACAATTTAATACTCTCACTTATTTATAAGTTTCACTCATATAATTAAGGCTAAGGCAGAATTCAGTGGGTTTAAATATGCGGGGCCAGTAGCAATTGGTACTCTTGCGACGTGGTTAATCCGGCACTACCACAGAGTTAACTTGTAGTAGCTTATTTTATTAATTAACTTCTGAATAACTTTCCCCTTTCTAAAGGTAATTTTTATAGTTTAGAGTAGTAATGAAACGGGGTAGGGGAGCTAAAGCATCTTAAATCAAGAATTGCTACTACTATCTCGCTATTTTTTCGTTATGTTTGGCGACAGTTTTATCTGTTCATTTTAAGTTTCATTATGGTAGCAGAAATCAAATTAAAAATTAAATTTCAATAGCAAAGGCAACATCTGCAGCAACATGAACATATTTCAAATATTAATTATAAAAATATCAATAATTGAGAAAGTAGTTTGCTGTAAATGAAGTATCTACATTATGACATTAAGCAATGGTAAAAATGCAATAAAATGAAGTAGAGATTTATGGGTAGTGAGGATGTCCACCACTTGCTTAGAGGTTAGAGCATTTGTACTCGTAATATGGAAGGCGTAGGTTTGAATCATGATTAAGTTTCATCTTGAGTGCAGTACACTAAAATTTAAAAATAAATACCAAACACGTAGTTTGGTCGATGGATAGATGATTAAGTTAGATGATATATTAGATCATTGATTTTAATCCTGTATCCGCCACTGATACGGGATAAAAGGTGCTAAAATAAAAATTGTTATACAAAGTTAACTTTTTTTTTAGTGGGCAAAATCCTTTATGGATACCCTGCCACTGGATCGGTGGTACTCCTTCCCTGACATAGAAGTATGTGGGATTCTCGGAAACGGATGCCCACTAAAAAACCCACGTTGCACTTGTCTGTTACATCGGCCGGGGATACGGGGACACGTAGACGCAATCTTACGCGACTCTGGCCTTTTTTGGCCTCCTCTTCTAAATGGTACTTTACCGGTGTCATTGGCACAGCACCACTCACGAGCATATTGAGCGACAGACACCTCCATGCCTGCCGCTCGGAGTCTCACTATCAGGGGGGAAGGTTACGCGCGTAGGCCAACCTCCTGCGCCCTGGTCTCCGGCGCCGGATATCCAGGGTTGCAGTTGCCTGCCCTTAATCTCTCCGCGGCCTCGTTCCGGGTGATAACGATTTTGCAGTATTGGAGGGCGGCACAACTTACCTTGGAGAGACGGGACGCACAACCATAAGACATAAGTACTACTCACCGAACACATCCGCAGTATACGAAAAATGGACATCAACACCTTGGCGGTGGCAACCACTCCCTTAACTCCGACAACTCACATTTTATTAGGTTCGATAAGGTGAAAATGTTAGCCCGTGAGAAGAAATTCGTGTCCCGGAAGCTCTTGGAAGCCACAGGATCGTTGGAAACCCGTGTTGTTAAATGCGACACGAAATAAGAACGATTGTGCTAGCGATTGTGTAGTAGACAAAGTGAGTACATTTTGTGCGCCCCATAACACCAATAATACACTAGAATACACTATAACAATATACTACGCTACAATATAATACACTACAGTAATATACTAGAATATTGTGTGATGAACATGGTGTTTTTCTAGTGTCTGGATGTTTATATATGTATTTATTTACAAAAGAAAAGTATGTTAAGCATGTTTATCAGTTTTCTAGTACCCATTGTACAAGCTTTGTTTAGTTTGGGACTAAGAAAATGTTGTGTAAAAATGTGTCCTAAAATATTTATTTAAAAAAAAAAAAAAAAAAAAAAACTTGACCAATCTCGCCGGACGCATCATCGCTGGCGCAACCCGCGCCCCCCGCCCTGTCAACCCGCGCGTTGCGAGCGCAGGCGCGTAGTGCGAGACGAGGCGAAACCGCGAACTAATCTCACTCACCCTGATGAAGGACCTTCGATGAGTCCGAAACTAGTCGGTACATACACCGGGTTTACGTGAGTTCAGCCGTCTTATTATTACGTGCATTATTCAAGATTATGCTGCTATTGGAAAATAAAGAAACAGCCTATGTACGTCCCACTACTGAACAAAGGCCTCCTTTGTACAGAGGGCAATAGAGCATAGTCTAGCAAGCAAACCCACTGCGGATTATCAGTCTTCACATTTCTTCAAAATATTGTTTTCGCAATATTAAAAAAAAATATGCAGGTTTCCTCACCATGTTATACTTAACGCTACTTAACTACGTATGTGCCAGCAATTAAAATTGCAGGTAACAATTTCTATGGTGCCGACACCCGGATTTGAACTCGGGTGCTCGAGTGTAATGAATTAAAAGTTAGCAACCGAAAACTAAGCTATTCTAAATTATATTGAGGAAGATATTTCAAGTAGAGAACTACCCGTTACTAACCATTTTAAATAGCAAAATATCGTTGTACTTAAAAGAAAATATTTATTACATGGAAACTATTTTTGTATTTTCGCTTAGTTAAATATGAAAAAGAAAACAAGTCGGACACTATCCAAGTTTTCAGAAAGGAGTTTATTTAAAATAAAATACAGTTTATTTGGAAATTAACTCCGCCTAAGAAAAAAAAATAACGACAAACTGCTTTTTAAGACGAAAAGATGAAGCTGCTATAGACGAAAACCTGCTTTTTAGGAAAAAGACTTATTGTCTGCTGTCCTCAGTCTGTGAATTGGCCTTAATATAAAATTTTAGTTTATATCAATTAAATTTCTCTTATGCTATTCAATTCAGTCATGTATGATTTGTAAATTTAAAAATACGTTTATAAATATTAATTTATATAAAGCGAATTTATTACTCTATATTATAGCTGATTTGAAAGATATAATTTAATTATAATTAATACAGAAGCAAATAGATTCTTTACAAGATCAATGATGAGATATAAATAAAATTCATTTAATTTGTGCTAATTATTGAGTAAGATCAATTAAAATGATCTCTTTTCTTTCCTACGCTCTCTTTTTTTTTCTATTTTCCTGGTGAAATTAAGGACATTATTAAAGTTACCGATTTTTCAATAAAAGAAAAAGTAATTAACGGAGTAAACTTCTAATTTACGCAAATCTGCTAGGAGGCCATGTTACTCCTTCTGACAAGCCCGCCCATTCATTCAATAGCAAAATCTGACGTGTTTTATACCACTGAGTAATTTAGCATTAGTGTTGTGCTACTAGTACTTGAAAGTAAATAGGAGTTAATACTAACTGTATGCTTTTATTATTACATATGATGTTGACATGTTAGTCTTGTTTTCCGTTTTATTCTTTCTAATGTAAAATTAAATAACACAGTCATTTTGTTATTTCAAACAATTATATATTGTAACCAGTGGCTACAAAATAATCATCTTCAAGCATATGTTAATCACCTTAACGGCCTAAAAACTTTATGAAACTTAATTGATATTTAATATTTCTTATTAACTTACTTTACTGTTAAAATGTTACTGTACTAAAGTCAATATGTGGATTATTTCGTGAAGGCAATTTCATTTATCTAAGGAATTGTAAAAGTTATTACAGATTAGAATTATAAAGGTTATAAACAGAATTATTTTAAAATAAAAATCAGGAGATCATAGTTCATGACTGTAACTGTTGTTTTGAATCCAAAATTCAAGGGCTGAATCGCATGTTCCGATAACCAAAACGCCGTTTTGGTACCGCAACTGAAAGAAAATAGTATTTATGTAAGTATACAGCGTGTCTTTACAATGGCGACAATAAATGAACACACATATAGAGGATAACTTTTCAAAATTGTATTATACATTTACATTCTTTAAATATCAATATACAGAGTTATAAAAGAGAGTACATATACAGTTATAAAATTTTATAAACAAAGAATTTTAGAACATCCTTACGTTTAAAACTGTAATGTAAACTTCATTTGTAAAGGTCACAAAGCATATGAATGGGTTGAATGAATTTAAAAGCGCCAAAACATACTGTTAGAAGGAGAGGCTTGAAGCTTTAATGCGACACTGTGGCAACAAATGAAAAAGTTTCTGAATGTATGAATCAGTCAGTTGTAGTTGTATAGGTGTTACAAAATTTTGTTTCTTTTTTACTTAATTAGTTTGTTTGAAAAATATTTTTTTTAACGTTTATATTGTTTTATGATTATTGCCATGTAGCATTAGACGTGTGTTCATTTATTGTCGCGATGGTAACGACACGCTGTATATTAAGGATATTAGAAATCAACGATAAAAATTTTACAAAAATATGAGTTGCAAAATACTAAACATATAAACACTTTCACAAGTTCATTTTACTTGGTTACGTGAAGACCAACATAAAAATGACAGATGCTTGAACATGTAATAGAAAGGTAAGAGAGGTTTTGTATATCATAAAAACCATAATATTTATATGGTTATAGACATTGTATGGGGCAGTGTAGGTCTTGATGAAAATTATGAAATAGACTATAAATATTGGCACCAGGATGATTCAAATATCAATTATATAAACAGGAACATTTTATGACAATTTTTTTCAATAAGCAGACAGGTTTAACAAATTTGATTATTACCTGTGTCACATCAATAGTACTGGTTTGTACAGTGCTGTATTCCTGTGGAGGATTGCAATTGTATAAAAATTTGATTTCGCCTCTATCTGAACATAATATCATATTTCCCCTGCTTTGATAACAACCAGCAATTTTGTTGGGAGGAGTCATTATAGAGGACTCTGGCCATATTTCATGTGTCCTAACAAATGTGTGATCCTCGGGATTAAATACATGTAATGATCCTTTTGAGTCACCAATGTACATAGCTGATGTACCCCAGTTAATGCAAACTGGATATGCTCTATTAGCTGGTATTTTTATATCATTTTTTAATAATTTTCCAGCTACACGGTCCCATATTGCTAAGGTTCTGTCTTCACTTATTGAAGCAATCATATTATTGTACAAACTCAATGCTAAAACAGGTCCTCTATGAGGTTTGTAAGAATTTATTGGATTTGATCCACATCTTAAGTCAAAAGAAAGTATTTTCTTTGAATATAGACCAGCCATAACTAAATTATCAGCTGTTACAACTGACAAAGCGGACATTCCACATCTGTTGATAAAAAGAAGTTATATTAAATATAGTACAAAACAGCATTCAGATTAACCTTTACATGGACTACATAAAAAAAATGGAAATAAAACAGATTCCTGGCTCAAGGTTTTGTTACCTCACTTATTAAGGCCATCTATGACACTGCACAAATTTTTATGAGTTTTAATCAATATTCGGGACACATTTATGATTCACCTCTGACATCTTTTTTTTAAATTATCTGTTTGAATGGTACAATCAGATCTTTCGGTAATAAATCACTATTACCGAAAGATCACATTTCTAATAAATACTTTATTCATTTATGACCTGAATTTAAGTGATGATGCTGAAGACTCAAAAGCTTTCTATTCACATGTTTATTCATCTATTGCTATTACTATGATAGCATAAAATGCCAAATGCAATAATGTTATTAGGTGTAGGGTGTCAAATATTTGTTCAACATGATCCGTATATTTTAAATTCAAATAAGAAGTTTTCATTCTATTTATCATTTTCTAATAAAGGACATTTTTACAAAATTTTCTAACTTTACCTAAAAGTTTCAATACAATTTAGTCCACTGACCAAGTCCCAGGCTTTGACAGTATTGTCCCATGAAGCTGAGAAAATAACAGAGGCATTTTCGATGTTATCTGCAGCTAGATCCCATACCCATCCTGCATGTGCATCATGTTTAATATGATGAGGTTTTGCATCTCTGAGGATAGTAGTACCATCAAAAGCACTAGCACTGGCCTTTAAATCCATTACATGCCAAAAAGCCATACCACGATCTCTTCCCCCAGATAAACAGATTCCACCCTTCTGTAGAATTTTTAAATCTATTTATTATAAATTTCATTTAAATTTCCAAACATTAATATAAATATTGAAACATGCATACATTTGCCAAAAGTACTGTATCTACTGATGCATAGTGAACATCTTTAATAACTATATGCTTAGTTGTTTCCTTTACATTACACCATTTCTTCCTTTCAACATCCATTTCAACACATATTTCCTCCCACTCTATGGGTGAATCATCCCATATTTTCAAATTTGGCAGTGCAGGAAAGTAACCTTTTATTTTACTATGTACCCAAAACTTCCACAGGTGCTCATCAGCTAAAATGTTTTCAAATCTTCTGCATACTTTACTTAAGCTGTACTTTAAAACATCTGCTTCCAAAAATGAACAAATTTTTAAAATAATCTGCAATTATAAAACAAGTTTTCTCGTTATACATGTTTTTATACTGATTTTACTCTAAAGAATTAAAGAAGAAGTATAAAATATTATAGTATGCATATTGGTTCAATTAAAAATGAATAAAGATGAATTGTTATTGTATGCACACATAAAATAATGATTTTATTTTATGTGTGCATACAATAACAAAGAATTTTTCACTGTTATTTATTTTATAACAACTAATATTAAAGAGCAATCTTTAAGATCATGTAATGGAATTTTTTATTTCTTGCATTGTTTTCTTAGTACTGGATATATTTTACATAAAAAATATAAAATTGAAAACATAGAATATAAAATTAATGACTGATATATGATATAAAAGTAAATAACAAAATATTACCTCTACTGGCAAATTTAGCAATTTCGGTTCAGCTGCTTCATTAATATCATTTTCTAAATCCGAAGTTATATGTAGACTATTAATTTCTGTTAGTTGTTCTTTTACAGATTGCTGTATTTCACACATTTCGAATGTTCGTCCTTTCAAGAAAATATTAGCAAAAGTTGATCATTCCATGACTAAGAGATTTTATGATGTAGTAGTGACTTTTAAGGAAATAACGAACATATCATGTTCCTCAAGGGTAAATGAACTCAATTTACGAACGATGTATGAACCGTCATAGGTTAGAACTTTTAAACCATATTAATTTAATTCGCCCAAAAATTTTAATTATATGTACATATTTCTAACAGTTTTCACTAAAGTGATAATTGAATATTTTCTTCGAAAAATACAGGAACCTTAGAAAACTTTAGAGCATTATAAATTCATTTACCTAAATCTAATTTAAAATCAGATGGAATTTTAAAATACTATAAGTATAACAAGTATCTCATGGGTATGAATTTTAAAAATCAAAACAAGAAACAAGTTTCTAATTTTATAACAATGCACTAAGTTTGTTTTTTTCTTTGTCTCTGGTGGCCTTTTTGAGTTTTTGACTTTTTGATATTCTATAAGTTAGTGATGTCAAAGAAATATCGATATATCTATATAAAATATACAAAAACGATATTTTTAATCAAATTTAAAAGATAGAAACAAACGTAAAAAAATAAATACATTTTACACAAACATTATTTAATATTACGTTATTTAATATTATACTAAAACTTTGCCTTCTAACATTGGCTAGAATAAAAATAATACATTTAGTTTTCTTGGCATTTAGTACCATATTATTAATGGTAAACCAGTGGAGGATATTCAAAAGTACACCATTCACGTCGTCATAATTTATTGCAGCGCAAGTCAGGAGTTGTGGCACAGTGCCACAACTGTCAACATTATGGCCACACGCCCAACAATTGCTTCGCTCACCCTAGGTGCGTCAAATGCACCGGTGACCACGGCACGCCCGAGTGCACGCGGCCAAAAGATTGCATAGATCCACCGGATTGCGTAAACTGCCACGCTACCGGCCATCAAGCTAGTTACAGAGGCTGCGCTAAGGCCCCGAAAACTCCCGCGAGAAAATCTCCCGCGAAATCAACATTGCCCAAACCCGCGCCCGTGAAATACGTTCCCGCGCCCGTACCCGTCGTCAACGCCTGGGCGAAACCCCAGGTGGCCACGCAGGTGGCCGCACAGGTAGTCGCGCCCCCGGTCCCCTCACGACCAACGCTAGCCCAATCGCAGCCCGCCATTCAACAGGCGCCGCGGCCGCAGGTGCAGTATCGGTATTCTCCGATAACAAAGACGACCCATTCGCCCAAATCGCGAACATCTGCGCTTTATTAGACCGCATAAATAGAAAAGAGCTCGCCGTATTGTCCGCTAAAATAGCGGCCGCCACATCTGGCGCTGAGCGGTTCCAAGCCATTAGCGAACATAAAATGCTTGTAAAGCACTCTAGGCATTTACGAGCCAACCATAAAATCTATAGTCCCCGCAATAAAACCGCGCTCCACCGCGTCGTTAGTTAGAACTCATAAAAAACTTTTATGGAAAGTACAACCGCAGGTAGAACAAAACCTCGGGCTCTGGTTGTTTCGTATTTCAACGCAAACGGCATGAAGGGTCAAAGGGACGAAATCGCAGAATTCCTTCGCGATTATAATGTAGATATTTTTCTAGTGCAAGAGACCTTCTTAAAACCTAGTGTTCGCGATCCCAGAATCGCAAACTACAACATAGTCCGCCACGACCGGTTAGCAAACCGTCTGGGAGGCACCTTAATTTATTACAAAAGGTCCTTGCACTGTAGCCCGCTCGACATTCCAGAGCTAAGCCATATAGAGGCATCCGCGTGTAGGTTAGCGCTCACCGGCCATAGGCCGCTTGAACTAGTCTCAGCCTACCTCTCAGGGAACAAAACCTTATTACCAAGCAACCTAGATACGCTACTCAACTTAGGCCCTTCCGTAATAATTGCAGGAGATCTAAATTGCAAACATGGCTCATGGGACATCCACAGCATCCCAAATAACAACGGAAAGCATCTCTTTAGCTTATCCGATAATTTAAACTTTAGCATAGTCGCTCCTGCGACTCCCACTAGGTATCCTACGGTGGAAAACTACCAACACGCGACACCGAGTATCCTAGATATCATGTTATTCAAGGAGGTATCGCTCGACATCGAGTCGATAGAGACAATCCATGAACTAGATTCAGATCACAGGCCCGTCCTGTGTAAACTGGGCCAGAACGCCAGCGCGGTCCCTCCGACCAAATCCGTAGTGGACTGGCATCGTCTTGAGGTCAAACTCAGGGCCTTGGACCCCCAGGACATAGTCAACCTACCCGAGACGATAGCTACGTTCGATGACGCAAATCGAGCGATAGCAAGTCTCCGAGAATCTATTACTTCCGCAGTCGCAGACTCAGAACGAACGGGGAAACTGGCGGGTGACCGACGGTTTAACTTTCCGCCCGACCTGCGACTGCTAATTAGACAGAAAAATGCAGCCAAACGCGCTTTCGACCGATACCGATCGGAATCGAACCGAACCCTACTTCGACGCCTTCAGCTAGAAGTCAAAGATCGTGTATCAGAACACCGACACACCACGTGGGACACCCTCCTAGAGGACATCGAGCCATCGCACACCGCCTACTGGTGGTTGGCCCGCAGTCTGAAAGCAGACCCCCGCGAATCTCTACCGCCGTTAGTTAGACTTAATAGCGCTTCAGTAGCCCTAGATGACTCCGAAAAAGCCGAATGCCTTGCGGACAACCTAGAGCAGCAATGTACGCCATCGCGCGAACACACCGATACAGCCCACCTAACGGAGGTGGACCACGAAATCGACATTAGGGCTGCGCTTCCGCCGGAAGGCGATCCTTTGAGTTCAGTGACCCCCGAAGAGGTCCAAGACTTTATTAAAAATTTAAAACTGAAATCCGCCCCGAGCCCAGATAAACTTAGTAACAAAATTCTCAAAGCTCTCCCTGGGCCGCTTATCTGCTTACTGGCGACCGTTTTCAATACTTGTACTCCAGTTGCTCCTTTCCGGACGAGTGGAAAGAAGCCACGGTTATCGGCATTCGCAAGCCGAATAAACCAGCCAACCAGCCCTCTAGTTATCGTCCCATCAGCCTACTCAGTTGCCTGGGGAAGCTCTACGAGCGGCTTTTATTAAACAGGCTCAAAGAGCACGTGTTATCCAACGGCCTTCTGCCGGCGGAATAATTCGGCTTTCGATCTAGACATTCCTGTCCCGATCAACTATTCCGCCTAACGGAACATGTCCTAAAAGGCCTCAATCACTCTAAACATATTAGTACAGGGGCTCTTTTCTTCGATGTCGCAAAAGCTTTCGACAAGGTCTGGCACAACGGCTTGCTTCACAAGTTGTACACACTCAAAGTGCCAGATAGGCTCGTACACACCATCCGGGCCTTCCTGTCGAACCGCTTTTTTCGATATCGAGTTGAAGGCACCCTCTCCACAAGCCGCCGCCTCACGACCGGCGTACCACAAGGCTCCTGCCTCTCACCTTTGCTCTTTACGCTCTACACGAGCGATATACCTAAAGACCCACACGTCAATCTCGCGCTTTTCGCGGATGACACGGCGTTCTTTTATTCAGATCGCAACCTTAGTCTACTAACCACTCGACTCCAAAGCGCCGCCGACCGCCTCGGCGATTGGTTCCGCAAATGAAGAATAGAAATAAATCCCGAAAAGAGTGTGGCGATTCACTTCACACGAAGTACTTACCCATCACATCTTTATAATGGCCGTTGTCAATGCAGAAAGTTGGGGCAAATATCCCTTTATGGTCAACCGCTCCCCTGGGAGAAAAAAGTCAAATACTTAGGAGTCACTTTCGACTCACGTATGTCATTTAATACGCACATTAATAACGTTCGAAATAGAGCCGCGTTCGTCTCCGGCCGGCTACACAATTTAACTTACTCTAAAAGTAAAATGCCCTTAAGGCACAAATTATTATTATATAAGACCTGCGTACGACCTATTATGTCCTACGCATGCATGATCTTCGCCCACACGCACCCAACTCGCTTGTACAAGTTGCAAATAGTACAAAATAAGTTCATCCGCCGCGCAACCGGAGCGCAGTGGTATCAACGCAACGTCGACCTGCACAGCGATTGCAGACTCCCGACGATTCGCGAATATTTTAAAGACCTGACCAAACGGCGTCGCCCGCGAAACGTCCTCATCGACCCGGTCGAGGAAGGGGACTTAGATACGTCGGACCCATCGTCGGGGGTCCCGCCGGATAACACTATTCCCACAGTTAGTGCAACAACAAACACACTAGTTTTCCCTCGCCTCCGAGCACGGCGAGACCAACAGAACGCGTACACAAGGTACACCCGCGTTCCGGGGCGGTTCTCACCGCCCCCAGCCACCGATTAGCTAATTACACAGTCGACGGCCATCGGGGTTTTGGTCCGAACCGCGACCTAGATGGCCCTTAGATGACACACCATAGTTAAACGCACGCATGAGCACATGCGTGGCCCTACCCACAGCGGAGGGCCCAAACCCGAGGGTTCTGGCTAGCCCACCGGTTCTGCGTCAGATGAAGCTTTAATAGTCTCGGGACTGAAAGCAAAAATATCAGTTAATACAAGATACAAGGATAATTTGTTACATTTCAGTCAACCTTAAAAATTAACTATAGAACGTCAGCTTTAAAAGTGCGTAGCTGTTGTCGATCTGCCTTTAGTAAATCCATATTGCTCATCGTGAAATTTTTTGTTCATATTAAAATGTATTCAGAGTTGTTTTAAAATTAGTTTTTCAAAAATTTTACACAGTGATGACGATAGGTCTATAGTTGCCTGGATCATTTTTATTCCCAATTTTGAAGACGGGGATTATCTTACAAAATTTCATAAGATCTGGAAATATTCCAGATTCTACGCAGTTGTTAAAATGCATTATTGTGGTCATTAATTTTATGGACATGCCTCATAAATTCTCTGTATTTTTAAGATATCGAATAGAATTCAAAACTTTTCTAATATCATAAGTATCTACGCGA